ATGGAGAAATTTTTCGAGATCAACGACGAAAGAAATCAGCTGGTCGAGGTCGATTCCCGGGACAGAGAGGGTCGGACACCGCTGCAATTAGCCGTGGTGAATTTCACTTTTAAAATGGTCGATGTTCTTTTCAAACATGGCGCTGATCTGTCTAACTTTGTTTTTCCCTCCGAGAGACACTTCAACGAGAGATTTGAGCAGGTGACTCGTGAAAATACGCCTAGATTGAAATTAACACTAGCGTCTAGAGCTATGATCACCATCGAACGTCTAGAGACGAGGGGGTACAAATTGGATCTAAGCAACGCCCTAATGATCATGAAATTTTTCGACGAGTACGATTTGTTCGAGGAGTCGGTGGAACTCGACGAGTATTGGTACGATGCCAAAGATTTCGAGAGCGAGACCAATACAAACATAATGATAATCGATAACCTTCCGGGACTGTCGCTCTACGTCCGAGTACCACCCAAAGAGGGGGCGAAACAATTTACGTATTTGGACTACTTCAACTTTGCGCGCGCGAAAAATTTTTCCAATCTGCTCGTAGAACAAAGAGAGGAGATAGTTGTGCATTTGTGCGAGATGATGGGGAAAAAATTTTTTCAGCAATGGGCACTGGAAGCTTTCGTGATCCTGTCCGATTACCGACTTCCAATTTTATGCTGTCAAATGATCATCGATCAGCTAATAAACAAAGATTTGTATAATATTTGCTTGGCAGCTACGGGTCAAAGCTCGTAATAAATCAGCATATGTATGTAAAATATTTATTTATTGTCTCGTCTAATTAAATTTTTGTAGATTTTTCATGTGATTAAATAAATAATTTTAAAAAATGTTTTGACTATTCTATCGATAATCATACCATCATTTAAAGTAAAAAAATATCTTGAACTATTTATTCATTACCGCAGCACCTCATCGCGATACATTGCGAGGAAAATTGTCGACATTACTCGTTGCTAATCCGTATTGCGATCGCGCAAATCGCAAAATGAACTATTCTTTTTATTTATTTCGCTCTTTTCGGAAAAACGTCACTTCTCACGGATATAGTAGCAGGACATATGCGCCGCTGCTGAGGGAAAATCCTGCCGCCGGGGCCGAATGGCAGTACAACGAACGTTAAAATCGCCCCCCAGAGAGAGGTGTGCGGGGGTGGCAGCACTACTCACACACAGTAACCGCGCGTCAGCTTCTCTAGGCCATATACACGCACACACACACATGGGAGAGAGCTGGTGATACACACGTATACAAGACAAAAGCTTCGCTTCGCCAGAGGATGAGCCGCTTAGCCCCCTAAAACCCTCCAGTTTTCCTTCATTTTCCAGCCCATCCTGCCACACATACACACACACACATTCAGTTGTATATATACGGTGCGGCGCTTACGAGCTACACACATACGGTAACAATTTTGACCTAACCCAGCAGCAGCAGCCCACGTGCACATGCACATACACTACACACAGCTATAGGTATAAATGCGAATTAAAAGCAGTGGGATTATCCCGGACAGGAGGACTAGTATAGCCTGGGACCAGTAGCAGAGACAGCGGCGGCGGCGGCGGCGGCCTCGTCAGGATTATCTGCGTTCGTGTGTGCAAAGTGGCCAAATCCCTTAGCGACCGACACCATAAACTCGGGGGCTAGTCTCTCTCTGTGCCTCCCCCCGCTACCGCCGCCGTTGCTCCGACTGCCGGATTAATGCGGGATTATTGGTATATATACGCGAGCTCGCGCGAGTCCATGTGCGTGTGTGTGCATGTGTCTACTCTGTCTGTCTGTGGCTGTGTGTGTGTGTGTGTGTGTGTGTGTGTGTGTGTGTGTGTGTGCGTGGGCGGGTGGCCGTAACTAGGAGGAGGCCAAATTTCGAAATCCAACACACACACATACATGCACTTTGTATCTATACCTACGTGTATATGCACGGGCTAATCCCGATGCGAATTTCATCCGATACTGCTATACGGCCCCTTTCGCCTAGAGCTTGACGTTTTTGATTATTATTATCGTTTTTTTCTATCTCTCTCTGTGTATCGCCGATCTGCTGCTAGGCTCTGCAGGCAGCAGAGGTCCTCGCCAGGTAGCTCGCTTTTCAAAAAATGATTCCTGCATGAGCCAAAAAAATTGTTTATTTTATTTTTTTTCTGCAGCAGCCAAGGGAGCTGAGCTTTCAATGCGCGCATCAATTTTTAAAGCTAGCGAGCGCGACAGTACGCGTTTACTGTGCGAGTACCGTGCAAGTGTTTATGTAGTCGAGTACGAGCGGCTACACCGTCACACATTAAGCGATGTAAGTACCGACGAATTAGCATGCGAAAATAATAAAGAAAAATATGAAATTCTAGTTTCACGATGCGCCTTGTACTCCTCTCTGGCTGCCTATTTTAATCTCGCCCCGTTGAAATACGAGCGACACAAAGCGACGAGCACAAGTCCGGCGTACGATTTATATATAATAACAAGCTCTGTGCATTATTATGTCTTTCTCATTTTTTAATTATCTCTATGCCACTCATATTTAATAACTCGAAGTATTAGTATATTTGGGCGCGAAACGAGTTTGGCAACCTCCGGTATTGTTATTCCTTCTTTTTTTCAACATAAACGTCAGCAATAACAAACCAGAGCAGTAGCAGCTCTTTGGCTCATTTTCTAATACACATTATACACACCGCACATCATCGTTGGTAATCATTATAATCGCTTTTTGTGTTACAGCGCACACACACACATTCAAAATATATATCCCCAAAAACCGGTAATAATCATAAGTTACCCGTGAGTGAGTGAAAAGCAGCAGTAGTATAAGCATAAACATAAATGCGGCTGCTGCTGCTGTGTACTAGAATTTCTAAAAGGGGTCAACGTGTATATAATGTAATATATAGAGAGAAGGTCGCTTAAATCCCATATCTCGCTGGTGCGCGCGCGCTTACTTCACAAAACGAATCCATTTAATGGCCTTGTGTCTGTGTATGTGTGTGTGTATATAATATCATCCCTTATGCCGGCGTGTATCCATAGTCCCTTATCCCTTCCTCGTGACGTGCAGCCTATACCGCTACTACTATACTACAACTGCGACCTACGATTCTTCTTCTTTGGCTCCCCATAATCCGGATTAGTAAAGACGAAGAGACGGAACGTTTTGGCCACGGGGCAACGTCGAACGTCCCCCCGTTTCCCTTCTTTTTTTTCTTCCTGGCTTCGATTCCCCTCTCTATCTCTCTCTCTCTCTCAAGACGGCGCGAATGTCTCGTCCGCAGTCGCATGTACCTATGGTATAGCAGCATGTGCAAGTGACAACGCAAACACATGCGACAAAGTCACGTCAAGTATTACGTTCGAAAAAGTCGCAACATGTATATTCGGGTTAATTTTTCGGCGCTGTTTGAATCATAATACGGGCGTTTTAATTAGCCAATGCTCTGCACTTTTCAACGCTTAGACGCGAGCTTTATTTTTTCTCTCGTCACCGGAGCCAATCGATATTCAATCAATCGCTGCGAGATCGTCTCACGTGTATAGTATCGGCCTTGCTGCCAATCTCTTTGTTGCCATATGCAGTATGCACACACGTCGATGCGTCTTAGCGTACGGCTCTCGCGTCACGCTACTTCGGGGCCAAGCGTCATACGTATACGCGACAGCCGGCGAGTGTATCTCCAAGCTAGAAGACACGCTTCCCTTCGCCTCTTAATATATGGCTTATCCTCGATGTGAACACATAGTAGATAAGTAAATCCCCGATGGCAGTGTACACATACACACACACGGATACAAAGTTATATGTGCATAAGCCGCCTTAATCGGCTAATCGCTTACGTGGACTACTATACAGCGACGGCTGGGAAGTTTTCTTTTCTTTTCAACGGTAAATGTTGTGTAGTATAAAAGAAAGAAGAAGGGTGGCAATTTCGAGCCAAGCGCCCCGCGTTTCAGGGACATTGGATAAATAAAGCAAATATTTACCATATCAAGCTGCGCTTTTTCGGCGATGTTGTCGTAACGTGATTTCTTGGAGAAAAAGAGCGGCGTGCGCGAGCGAAGGGCTAAAAGAAACGCATATAATTCTCGCGTGAAAAGCACGCGAATCCGCCTCATCGTCATCCTCGTTGTTGTTGCTGCTGCTTCTGCTGCTACTGGTGTAGGCTCATTAGCACAGTGGTAGAGTAGCCGGAGCGAATACGTACGCTATAAGTCGACTAATTGATGCAAAAACATACGCGGATTATCGTCCGCCCGACGCTGGCCCCCGGGCTTTCGCCGACGAAATTCGTGTACAGCAGCAGCAGCAACACAAGAGAGCAGCTCAATAATTAGTCGTATATGCGCGCTATATACACGTATACGTATATGCGCACGTTCATGATGGGCATATTTTAAGCTTCAAACGCTTTAATCTGTTGATACTCTTAATCCAGAAACTAATGCGTATCCTAGAGCTTCGAACCTCTGCGCCGGCCGTAGGTTTAAACGTTGGTAGCGGACCCGTGGGGGCCGATACTTTATGCCCGTTAGTTTTCAGCCGTTTCGAGCCCTTTGGCGCATTTAGTTTGAACTTTTTCTTTATTTTTCTTTCCTTTTTGAGAAAAATTCTAGGCAGCTATGAATTCTTGTTCGAATTTTTTTTTAAATATTAATCGCTAATGACTTTAATACAATAGAAAAGTTTGGCTCGATCGAGAAACTCGGAAGCCGTTGCGAATATAATCCCATCCAATGCAGCGATACACACGTATTATACGAGCGTGCGGGATCTAGTATACTGTGTCGATCGCGCCCGGCCGATCGCGAATTCACGTTTACACCAAACGCGTCTCTCAAACGTCGTGCGCGCTCGACCAAGGTGCCATTTAATAATTCGTTCGCACGTTGCTGATTTATGCCTGGCTGTCGGTGAACAGTACTATATATGTGACGATGGGGTCGGTTATAAAAATATTAGGGGTCGCGTTTAACTGGATGTCAATGCGTAGTTTACTCACCTGTACTGGAGGACGTTTTGCTGAGATCGAAGCCCTCCTGCTTGGGGCTCGAGGCCAGCTCCTGCTTGAGGTGCTGATTGTGCGCGGCGTACGGCTGCCTGTGCACAGCCGCGGCGGCGGACAGCTCGCGCTGACTGTCGCCGCCGACGACCAGCTGATGCTGCGGCTGATGCGCCGGCGTGACCGAGACGATGCTCGCCGATCGCTCCCTCGACGAGTCCCGTTGCTGTTTACCGCTGCTGCTGCTGCTCTCATTGGCACCAGCTGTGCTGCTGTTGTTGGCATTGGTACTGCTTGCCGCTGCCGTCGAGCTGGCCGTGCTGGTCGCTGTCGTGGTCTGGGGCGGCGAGCCGCTCGTCGTCAGGCTCTGGGGCTGGGGCGTGGTGGCCGCCGGGGGCGGTGTGCGGGGCAGAGACGGCTCGCTGCTGGTGCGCGACGGCGACGACGACGACTTGTGCGTCAGCGCGAGGGCTTGGCTCTGTTGAATCAAGAAGTAAGAGACGGAAATGTAACGCTTGCCTTATAATAATTGTGTATTAAAATTTCTAAGCTGATCTTCGTAAATTCGATACTCCTGCGCTCGTGAGCTCGAGTAATTAAAATGCCACTTTTATATAATATATAATAATAAGAGCCAACGTCAGCGACATGTGTCTGGTCTGTCTTTTTTATTTTCTCACTATATAGACACTTTACGAACGTCATGATACGTATATAGCGTCGAGGGCTCTATATCATATCGTACCGGACACACACACATACATATGAGCACGCGAATCGTTTTTCCCAGCGATTAGCTCACACCAGCGGCCAGTGCTTATTATTTCTTTTTTTTTGTCTGCCATGGCATTCGCTATCTCACACTTACGTACTACGTATGATATATAATAAACACACACTCGTTGCCGTTCGGTCAGAGAGACAAAAGATAATCAAAGCTCGTCTCAGATTATCCCTATATATGTGCGCGCTTGCGACTATGAGCTGCTGCCCGAGGCACGTATAGCTCGCTGCTTTGCGAACTTGTCGTCGGCACAGAGATTGAATTACATTTAAGATTCGTCACTCTCTCGCGTCGTCGTCGTCGCGATCGTAAGCGTATATCTATATTTTCTCGACGTGCATAGCCACAATATTATATACGAGCAGACACACACACACACACACATAATACATAACAAATCGAGCCGACGCAACATTCCATTGAATGAAATTTCATCATGATCCGCATGTATCGATCATCGATGATCGCAAGCTGGCCTGCACGCGTGTATGAGCGCGCACGTGTCAAAATGCATATGCACAGTATTTATAGAGAGAGAGAGAGAGAGAACTTAGATTTATGCATGTGTATCGATTATTATTGTCCCGGAGCTGGCGAGAGGCTCGAGTTAACGGCTAAGCCGTCCACAGGCAGTGTCAACTGGGGTCAACTATTGTAACTAGTGGGCATCTCGGCGGAGAATGCGTACAAACAATAAGTAGTCTATACGTACAATTATTACGTGTTTTTCAACAACGATACACTTTTAGCTAGTCTGGACTTGCGGCAGATTATCTCGCCGCCGTCGTCGTCGTGCATAGCCTCCGAAATATGAAACGCTCATCGCGACTCGCTTATTTTTTGTGCCTCTCGCTGCTGGTCGCGTACGAACCTTGTGTTGTTTCTCGCATCGTGCGTGTATACAGTAGTATGTGCCCGGCAGCGGTAGCGATTAATGCGCGCGCCCGGCAAAATATAACGTCCCCTTTTGGGCACTGGATGGAAGGAGCGCGAGGAGAGGAGCAGAGCAGCTACTGTTTCGGCAGCAGCAACGTCACGTCGTGGTATGCGGCGGCGCGCACGGGGCAAAAAACCGATACTCGTTTGGCTCGGAGCGCGCGCGACACGCTAACTGCAGCAGCAGCAGCAGCAGCAGCAGCAGCAGCAGCAGCCGCCGTTCATGCCTCGAGGACTATATAATACTTTGGCGAGAGCGGAGGCAAAAATAAATTTGAGACGAGCTGGGCGCACACACACGTACACATAATATAACTCCTGGCTCTTTGGCACTTTTGGTATTCCATCCTATTTGGCGCGGCCGAGATGCACAAACCACTGCCGCCGCCGCCTTAGCTTATGGGCATATAGGTGGTACGCAGCTATTTACTCGCTGGGCTGCACGAGATAAGCTTACTCGATTATCCAAGAGTAGCCGCGATCCTGTGCAGGGGTCTCTCGAGATGCTCGAGTAGCGAACGACGATCATCATCGTGCGGTCGAATATGAATGAAATCATAATTAACTCGCTAAGAAAGGCGTGTACCTGTATATATATGAGCCTATATAGCTACGGTCGCTCCTTTCATTTTGACGATATTAATGATAATCCGCGCAAGGAGGCGAGCAATTCGGTGGCTATATGCGCCTGCCTACCTCTCGATCATTACATCCAACGTTTTTTCTCTCCTTCTCTCTCTCTCTCTCTCTCTCTTTCCTCCTCCTTGCGGCAGTATAAATCTATCCACGCACGCAAGCACACCCGAAATTATAGCCTTCGGGCCAGAAATCGACGAGGGAGAGAGAGAGACAGTAGCTCCGAAAATTCAGAAGCCACAGAGGCGTGCAACACGACAACGACGACAACGACGACGACGATGAAGCCGAGGATGATGAGTAAAGAAGAAGAAGAGAGAGAGAGAGAAGCACTGCAAAAAAGGACGAAAAAGCAGCCCAGGCCAAAGTAAAACGCTAAAGCGAGTGAGCTGCGAGGCAAGAGGAGGAAGAGCACGAGGAGGAGGAGGAGGAGGAGGAGGAAGAAAAGGAGTCAACAGGTGGATGGGGTTAGTGGTTTATCCCGGCAGCTAACGCCCCGGAGTGATATCGTTTTCGCAGGACGTGCGCTGCAGCCAACGCGAGGAGACGCGACTACCGTACATATATAGCTCGTTCTCTCTCTCTTTCGAGTGCGCTGCAATTTGTGCTTGGCTTGGCTTGCGCGCGCTTTCATGCTTGGCCAAGTGCGCGGAGCGACAATTTCTCACACTACTGCTGCTGCTGCTTCCAAAGTCAGTCGCTCACTCGACGCGATTCTAATGTCACCGAACGCGTCCAATAACGTCGCGTACGTTATTATCGATTAGAAGTCGACCATCGACAATCGTGCCGACGCGACCAACATATGTGTGCGAGTCAATCGCGTTCTCGATGGCTCGAGACTCGAGAGCTGTGATATCCATCGATGGGTGAAAATATATAGCCGAGCTGCAACTCGGAGGTGCAGCATTGCGCGTCGCGCGTCCACTGTATAACGTCGGCATCTCCCGGAATCCGCGGAATTACAGAGAGACAGACGCACACGTATGACCGAGCTCGTAATTTTTATAATACCCGACTCTCCCTGTATATGCGTTAGTGAGCTCTATATACGGAGCTCTGTGTGCGAGTGTGCGGCTATATACACGTCACGCTGGCGTGAGCACCCCCTCGCAGAGGTAGTAGTAGCAGTAGTAGTAGTAGGCGCACTCGTTTTTTCGAATGATTGTAATCCATCGCTATCCGCTGCTGACGCTGCTCTGATGTCCTCCCATATCAGAGTAGCCGTAGTGGTATAGTGCCACGCCGTCTACGTCCGCTCGATGCCCATATATGCGAGCCTTATACATCGGAATTATATTATAAACATTCGCCTTTCTCTCTCTCTCTCTCTCTTTTATATGTATAATGTGCACCACTAACATGCCGCGAAAAGTATAAAGCTTTTATTTCGCTCTTTCTCTCTCTCCTTTTTTTACCTCTTCCTGTTGTGATCATGAGCGACGAAAGAGGACAGTTTTATATATATACACTACAACGATGCACTTGAAGCAGAGCAGTGATGCGGCTCTGATTGCTCATATATGCCTATACGATATATAGCCGCTGTTGCTGTATACGATGACATCATATTATTTCTTCTCTTTCCTCTTTATTTTCCGCGGATGATGTGATTTCTGGTGATGCATGAGCTTTTGATTAGAGGCAGGCGCGAGGAGGAGCTCGGAGCGACTACTACGGCTGAGCACTCGAATTCGTGGAAAACGATAGGACGTGCGGACGCGGGTGGATGGATCTATCTTCGAGCTTCGATTAGCCCATCCTATACTCGGCAGATAAAGGTATAAAGCGAATATTTTGCGAAGCACGAGAGAATACGATTCGTGTGCGTACGCGGACAAAAAACTGCGGACCGTGTTTTTTTTTCTTCTTTTTCGCGTCCGTCTCAAAAGCCAGAGCAGAGAGACACAGAGAGAGAGCTGAGTATTTAACACAAAGAAAACGACTCGACGCATGATATATACATATTTCCTCGAATGTGACAGAAAGCAAGAGACGTAAAAGAGAGAGAGAGAGAGAGAGAGACGATGACTTTTTCGCACCGATACAATGAACGCGGCCCGATACGTGTGCAGTATTACCCGTTATGTGTGTGTGAGTGAGTGAGCTCTGATGCTACTTCTGGTGCACTGCACTCTCGCTCTGGTACTCACTGCACGCGACTGATTTTAGGCTCTCCTGCTCCGTGCGCAGCTTTACGTCGTCGCGTGTTTCTTTGAATTTTATTCAATGAGGAATCTTAAACCCGGAGTGCGGTGGTTGGTAGCAGCAGCATCAGCCGAAAAATGGGATGAATTTTGGGATAATTATCTGCGCGAGAGAGAGAGAGAAATTTGTACCCGTTGCGATCTTCACCAGTAGCAACAGCAGCAGCAAAGAGAGAAAGACAGAGATGAGAGAAAAATATAAAATATATAAATCGCATGTATATATCATACGTATTTTTTCTTTTGCTGTAATGATCCCTCTCGAACTTGAGGTTGCACTCGCTCTCGTCGATACATATCCGTATACTGTAGTACATACGTATACGTGTAATTCGTGGTAGAATATCGTGGCGCGCCTTTTCGAAACCACTCCCTGGCGTGCGCGTATTTTATATTTCGTGCTCGCGATTGCGGAATTCGTCTCTGTATAGTAGTAGTGGTAGTAGCTTTTTCACAGCAAAAGCCACGAGCAGCTCTGCTGCCATTGACACCGCGATGATCCGTGCGCGATGGTTATAAGTATAAGCACAAAGGAAATAAGTCTCCCCGGGCAACGCGGGCAAAAAATAATTAATCTCATTTCTGCGCGACGTTTGATTTTGGCACGTAGCCGTACTTGTATTACGTTCGTTATGATATACACATGGGGCCTATAGGTCAAATGAAAGCTTATAATCCTCCAAAGGCGCATATCGTGATACCCACATAAATTGTCGGACAGCTAAACAGCGGATAAGAAAAATAAAAAACGATTTTCGCGCAGATTTTATTGCGAACCACGTGTGTGCGATTGTACACACATGCTGCACGACTCGAGAGTCTTTAAAAATGTAATACGCTCGGCTTCTAAAATGTAACTCGGGCGAATTATAATATATATTTACACCCAGCGGACGCTCGACTCCGTATGTTGAGTCGGAAAAAATTCATCAAGGGACTCGCATTATATAAGTCGAAAAGGTGTTGTGCCGCAGACGCGTTTACCCGCCTTGCGATCTTTTAATTACAACAACTATATGCTATGTATACCGCGCAATAACTGGATTAACGCGGATTACGCTCAGGCGCGAGCACCAAACTCTCGGAGCTTCTTTTCTTTACGCGCGCTTATCTGGCAGGAATTTCGAATAGGCTCGCGCGCGCCCACGGCTAAATCCTGCACGTATGTATTACATATGCTCAAACACAGATAGCTGAAACGCAAGTTCTTTTTTTTTCTTTCTCTCTATTTCTTTGTTTAGAAAAATATCATGAGCGCTGAAAAAATTTTGTACTGAATAATAGATCTCGACAGTGTAAATACATCTTATATCTTCAAGTGAACTAGTATTGATGACAATATTTTGAACGGAATCATTTCTCACTGTGACAAGAATTTGGCTTCACGCGTGACGGTTAATTACGATAACGATAATTTCTCCATTGTTATTTGTTAAAGTAGTTAATAAGAATTATGTTGTTACGAGGCATAACTCATAAGCAATATTTTTGTAGGGAAAATCTATCCTAGTGTGCCAGAATTAATTATTAACATTTCAATTGTTAAAACCGAAATAACTAAGATATTATATAATTGATATGAAAAATGAGTATTTTTTTCCTTTATGATAAAACGATGAGATTAATTTTTTTTAAATAACAAAGTTTTTACAATATTTTTCGAACGTGTAAAGAAAATAGGTTCGTTTATGTAAGATTTTACTGGAACATAGTCCAAGCCCCCGACAACAAAAAGTGCTAGATAATCGCGTTCACCGTGAACCTAAATTCCTGTCACCATCATCGTGAATATTTTCCAAGTTAACTGTTGATTATAAAATAAAGACACTATAGTGTGATATCAATAGAAAACCACTGTTGGTCACTAATTCAGTGCAAAATTTTTTCAGTGTACACAGAGCCGCGATACACGGAATATATAAATGATGCGCGCATACGTCGCGTATTACGTGCTGTCATCGAAAGAGTATCGTATTGCTATCAGTCGATTCATATACGCGCTGAGATCGAGCTTATGTTTATACACGCGGGAGAGTCTAAATCAGCTGGCACTTATTATTATTGTACATATAATCGCCGAGCTCTCGGACGGGTGCGGGTGCAAAATATCGATGGGTTACATGTGTGTGTGTACAGCAGCATAAAACCACCGCCGCCGCCGCTGCGTAGCTAGCTAGCTGCTGTGCAGGAAGAGGGCCGAGGCTGTAGCACTTCCGTATCGTGGTCAGAAGCCGTGACCCCGCGTTGTCCACCCTTCTCTCTCTCTCCCGCTCGCTTATAATCGTGCTATATAAATACATACGCGCACGATGATGCAGTGCACACGCATACACTTGCGAATTGCATACACGCCCATCGGCGTGTGTGTATAGGAGTTGTGGCGTAGATTTCGACGGAGAGAGCGCATGTCAACGGATTATCCGGAGAGCTCCGTGCGTCCTACATCCTTTTGAAGCCAACTCAAGCGAGCAACTATCGCGTGACGATTCTTTATTCTTTCTTTCTTTTTTCTTTTTTTTGCTTTTTGATTTTTGCTGTTACTCCGTCGTTGCTTATAACGTATACTTACAGCTCGCTCTAAATGTTTGCGAAAAAAATATGAGTAAAACGTCTTCGCTATATGAACGCATTAGGATTGTCCCAACGATTAATGTAGAATCACAAATCAATAATATACGAACGATTGCGTGTGAAAGTATATATCTGTTATGATTATTCGACAGCAAACTCGAGGGGTGTGCTAGCTAGCTAGCTGGCTGCGATCAATTGACTGTGTAATAATCAGAAAAGGGCCTATACAACTGGCATAGAACGCGCGCCTAAAACCTATATCGCCCCTTATCGTACGTACGGCTGTATATGGCTATATCTTCGAGCAGATAACATCGGCGTAATTGTATCGAATTGGATTAACCCCGCGGCGATGATCGTCACTTTCTGGCGCATCTTTGCGTGCGTTTGACAAAATTCGCAAAAATAAAAATATATCTCGTTGGTATATGTGTAATGTAACGATATCAATTATTTTTTGGCGCGTCTGACGCAGCTCGTATATGTATAATAATTCCCCGAGTGACGACTTTCGGATTACTCTTTATATTATATGGCCGCGAGCTTATACGTACGAGCAGCTAGTCGCAGTAATTCCAATAATCTCTCTCTGTCTCCCCTTATCTCTCTCTAAAATTTTAATCCAGTCGTGTACGAAAACACCCATGTATTGATCCTCGCGTGTGGTGCGCATACGTATTTATTTATTCGAACATTATCAATTGCTGCTTTTTTTCCTCCTTCTTCCATACTCGTTCGACGCGAGCGAAAAGAAAGAAAGAGCTACACCCTCTCACGTGAAATCCCATATCCAGTGCTTATCCACGTTTCTCTGAGCATCCGTTCGTCGAGTGCAGTTAATCTAAAAGTAATAGAATAGCATATGTGTGCGCCCCGCGTGTGTGCAACACGTGAGATTTTTTTTTGTTTTGCTTTCGACCGTATACCTGTTACCCAATATCCTCCCTCGCGTCTTTCTTCGATACATAAATTCATCGCGTCTGAGCGCGCGCGCATATGAACGTCCTTGAGCTCGAGCAAACCCCTTTCTCGTGTATGCGTTCTATGTATGTATTTTTTCTATATGTATAAGAAGAAGAAAAAAATAATAAAGAGAGACTACTATGCGTACGTAGTAGTGGCATCGGTTTACCTGAACCTGATCGTTTTTCGTGTTGGCAGCCACCCATGCTTCGGCAAAAGTCTCCATTGCGCTCTGAAAATCCATCTGAGCTCTTCCTTCTTTCTTTTCGCTTTCTCCTTGGGCTATTAGTTGTGTGCTTTAATTTTTTTTTGTCTTCCGTAGGAGAGTCTTTGGTTTATTAGCCGAACAATCGGTCAATGTTCAAATTATATATGATTGCGATTATAATACGTTTTTATCGCAGTCCTTTTAATGTTCAATGCACACCTGGTGATCGAATATCCAAACACACTGTCGGCATGTAAACACACATATATTATATATAAAACGTCGTCGACGACCTCACCGGATGTCTGTCATTGGCCACAACAAGTTCTTTTCCACGACGTTTCAATATTTCAATGTTTGTTCAATTTCAGCAAAAAGTTTATTATAATTAAACTAGAGTCTCTGCTTTGGCTGCATGTCTTAAAATTAAAAAATCGGTTTAACGCGTCAAGCTAGATTACAGATTAAATCTAGTCAGTCGAAAAATAACGTAACAACGAAATAAAAACATTAACAACAACTGAATTGCACTGCATCACTTTTGTTTTGCTCATTAAAAAGCTAATAACGAACGACACTTGTTAATAAATCTCATTATGCTTGCTGTTTAATGAAATTCGCGTCAAGCAGCATGACCATACTGGCCAGCGTCGCGTTAACGAAAATCATCATTATTTTGCCGTGCAAAAAATTGAACTGTTCAATCACGGAGCTGTCACAGCATGATGTTGGCAAGTAAACACACTGAAGTATGCAAATGACGCGACGAGTACCAGCGGACAGCGACACATGCGAAACGTGCGGCGTTCGAGCCGCGACTGATTCTCTCGGCGTCCCTTTCTGCTACTGCTACACATCTCTCGCACACTTACACACGCGCACGCACATGCTGACGAACGCGCGGAGTAGCGTCGAGCGCATGTGTTCACGTGTGTGCGCTGTACGCCGCCGGAGAGCTGTATATTCGCGCTGCGGCGCAAGCGCGTGCGAATACAGTCGCCAAATAAGAGCTGCAGCCAACAGGGATTCGTCCTGGCGCTCTTCGCTACATAGATATATTGTACGTAGTCTTTTGGCTGGCTACGGCGGCGGCGGCGCCTCTCGCTCGCATATACAAGCGCGCTCCCGCCGACGAGAGAGCGGGGGTGTGCCTTGAGCAGCGGTCTACATGCGGCCCAGAGAGATACAGATAAGGAACGACCTACGGCTACGCAGCGTAGGAGGGATTATATTATATAACACCGGCGAGGAAGGGATGATACCAACGACGAGAGAGAGAGAGAGAGGACGAGCTTTCTGCAGCGGAGTATGGACTGCTGCAAGCTCACTGGCCGGGTTTTCTGCCGGTTGCTGTAGCTGCAATATGCTGCAATATAACGATCCGTTTTTCTCGAGCTTCGAGAGTCCATAGAGTTCTTTTCCGCTTGGACAGCTTCTCAAATTAAATAACCCTGTTATGTTTTATATGCGAGGATGACCGATTGGAGAATTTCTCAATCAGTCGGGCTGATGTTCAGAATTATCGATCGTAGTTTCGAGTATACACGTTGCAACGTGAAAATGTTTATATAAAGTTGGAACGAGACCGATGCTATATAAGCCGCAAGGGGCGGTGCCAGAGAGCGAAGCCACTTTGCCGCGATTGCATTCCCGATTATGCGGTCCAATCCCTGCAAGCTCGGAGTCTCGAGCGCGCTCGGAAAGCTGATTCAGCCTCAAGAACACCTTCTCTCTCTTTCTCTAGCTCGATCTCTCTCTATCTCACGGAATTGACACTGCACGGGGAAAACTCGCTTATATTATACGTGGACCAACGTACAGTTGTGGCAACTAACATTTACCGTGGGCGCATATTCCCTTAGCATATCGGTATTGCTGCTATATATAGCACAGTTATACGAGCCCGAAAGCTTTGAATGCAAGCTCGACGCGATTTCAAAGCTGCGCGTTATCATTTACTTTCAGTGCCGATGCTTATACTGTGTAGCTTTTGAATATGTCTCGTCGCTGCACAGATGCGCGGAGATTCCTCTCTTTGACTCGGCAGTAACGACGCACTATTCGTTTTATCGTTTTAAAATTCAAGTTTTTCAAACTGTTTATCGAGTTTTTACGTCCCTACACAAAACTCGTTACGTTTGCAATTCTATACGAGTACGCGAAGATGATTCCAGAAAAAATAAGCTGCACTCCCGAGGATTTTTCAAAAAGCGTAAAATAGTATATACGATCCTTATTTGGTATGTTTAAAATGCATCTACATGCCTCTTTGCATCAGGCAGGTTTGAAATAAGAAAACCCTATCGTCAACCTAAGTAGGTTATATCTAGTTCCATAAACATCGTATCCTCTCGTTTTCCATTTCCAACGCAGACGCGCTTTAAATTCGCAAATATCATGTCGTTGCCACGCGTGCATATGGGTATAAGCACAAAAAAACGAAGCGAGTTGACGCGTTGTGAGAGAAAAAAAGAGGATAAAATCATTCTCATTATAAGTCGCTGCATTGGTGTACGTGCTTATAAAAGTTGTCGCGAGCGAGCGAGCAAGAGAGAAAGAGAGAGAGAGAGAGAGAGAGAGAGAGAGAGTGGAGAAACCTCACATCGATTGCATCGAATCCTCAGCTCTCCCTCCGTAGAGAAGGGAGGATAGAATGCTACCGAGAGAGAAAAGAGGACTCTATAGTACCAAGAAAAGCTCGATGCTGCAAGGAGCAGCAGCTTTTCAATATCCCTCTTAGATATCCAGCTGACACCCTCTTTCTCTCTATCTCTCTCTCGCTCGCTCGCAGTGTTATAGGCGTGGTGGCAAGCTTGCGCCCCTCACTAGGCGGAGCTTCACAGGCGAGAAACGTCTACGCCTCTTTGGAGCGAGCGAGCGAGCCGAGCTTGCGTTGGATCAGCGCAGCTATCCTCCATGACCTCCCTCTCTTTCTTGCTTTGGCTTCCGAGCGGCAACTGGAAAAAGAGGGGCTCCGAGGGATGCGCTCCTCTCTCTCTCCGTGCAGTACGACGTATCTCTAATGCACAGCACTTGTGTATATGTATGTGTAAGCTTGAGAGAGAGAGAGAGAGAGATGAAAATTGTATCAGAGAGTATATAGAGAGAAGGAAACGAGGCTTCGTATGGACATTAAATGGAACACGTTACGCGAGAAATTATCATTTTACTTTTACGAAAATTAACGAAACGCCCTTGAGTGCTTAATGGACATCCTTGTGCTGCGTCGAGGCGACCACGGAGCCCGGAGATTCTCTCATTTCTCGAAGTGCATCTTATCGCTACCGCACCACGGCGTCACCGCAAACTTACTCCTTCTCCAAAATGATTCGCTAAAAAAAATATTTTTTTCGTAGTAATAAAAAAAAGTTTGAACTTACCAAGCGTCACTAAATCGATGAAACAATTTCAAGAAAATTTAAATGAAAAAACATTCACAAGTCGAGGCACATTAAAGAAGGCTAAGCTATATGCACTAATTTACCCTCATTACCTTGAGCAGATGTTTATGAGAAAATTACCCAGAATAGGCACTTTATATAGCACACGATGCATTTGAATATTCTCCCTCTCTCAGTGCGCAGCCGAGATAGCGCATAAAGTTTCTTGAGTCCATGTTTCACAACTTGCAGTGTTGTATACATCGTGCGTGTAAAAAGAAATTTATATGAGAGGCACAGGCGTAACGATCTCTTAGCAAGCCTAGACCCGTGGCAACCCGACTTACTTGAGAGTTTCGAGCCTCGAATGTATATAACGGATACGTCAACGAATTATATATATCATCGTTTGATAATGCCTCTTCAAATGCGAACGAATCAATTACTACTGCTACTCAGGTATATACATTTGCAAGCTCGAGCTCTCCGGCGCGGTATTGTCTCGCGCAAAACCACACGAGAGATAGGCTTATTATCGCGTCAGCCCCTGCTGCGTAGCAAAAGTGCAAGGTGTATCATCGTGGGTATCTCTCGCTCTCTCTCGAGCGAGCGAGATAAATCTACCACCGGCGGTATAGCGTGCTAATATACACAAAAGCGACTATACTTAGCACCCCCGCGAGCGCTTCGTTGTACGCCTTTATACCTATGTAGTATCAGGTAATAGGGAGGAATTGAAAAGCATCGTCGGAACAAATCTCGGGATTTCCATGGCAGAGGCAGAGCTCGCGCGAGGCGGGAGCAGATATAACTTTTGTCGTTTCGCGCGCTACACATATATATAAATAAACATTATAAATGCGTTCGGTATGTATAAGATGTTGCTGCAAGCGCGATATAAATTTCGTGCACGACTGCACAGCATCGCGCACAGGCCTGTACAGCACGTCGTTGTATACATGTAGCAGTATCGCGCGGCAAAGTACACTTTTGTAGGACCGTAGATAAATCTCCATACACGCGCGGTGCTGCGCGCAGAGAGCGAAACTTTCTCTTGAAATTTCATAAGCTTACATATTGCAAGATACGCATGTATAGCACTTACGCACATCGCAGACGACGAGGACAGGAGCGAGACGACGTTATAATACACAGTAGTGCGCCGTATTACCCGGCAGCAGCAGCAGCCGATGTCACTGCGCCGCTATCATATAATGCGAGTTCCAAAATACAAGCGCGGCAACAGCAGCATTTCTCTATGTTTTCCGAGTTATACATACACGTACGGGACGCGCATACATAGAAATCCCAGGTTCGCAGAGGATGTGCTGCTGTCGATGCCTTGCAGAGAGCTACAGACGACGCGCAACGTTTATTTGACGTAATCCCCAAGTGAAGCATGTACGACCCTTTGAGGTCCCGTCGCGCTCGTTGACTATGATACTACTGTGTAGCAAAAGAGAGAGAGAGAGAGAGAGAGAGAGAGAACGAAGCAGAATTAGGAGTTAATGAAATAGTATATAGAATATATGGAGATCGACATAGTTCTAGGATGTCGCGAGAGCTTCCCGCAAACGCATGAGCTTGCAAGCTCTCTTTCGGTATTGATAGAGAGAGAAGGTACAGAGAAAAAAATACAGAAAAATTCGGAACGTCATTAATGTATATCGTAATCGTGCGAGTATTACGTAAGCGTGTAATATATCGAAATATATTCGGTAAAGAAATCATAGGAGTTTTGGCGCAGAGCCAGTGGAGCGACGATACACTTATACTCGCATGTATCGCTTCGAGACTTCAATCGCTTTCTAAGCAGCTTGATGTCCACGCAGTCGTAGCAGTTAACCGGCCACCAGCTAGATACGCGAGGCATTATAATATGCATACGTGTTCAAAAAGCTATGTCCCTTCGAGTCTACACCCACGCACGCATCCTCTCCGACATTATATAATATTAGCGTGTACAGGAATCGTTTTACATATTACGTTCATGTACACGAAGGGCGGCAGGGAAAATCGATTTACCGCGCAAAGATTCGACTTTAAAACGTACTCTCCGGAATCTCATTCTAAAACTTATATTCTATATACGCTATCAAGTTTAACTTGTACATATAGGCCCGCGATGTTAATACAACAAATTTGCATGCGCGCGGCTCGCTCATAAGTAGGTTATTTAAAGTTTTCCAACTTGTGCAACGTACGTACGTTCGTTCATGGATGCCATAGACCCGAGCAAAATGCAACGGAGTTTCTCGGTATTTTCGGGAAAATATCTCGCGCATCTATTTCTCCTGAGCGAGCCGAAAATTGCTCAAAGTTTTTCAATTAAAAGCTCGCTGCTCGCTGAGAGAAGGTAAAAAACAGGCCCAAAATTAAGTTTACGTGCGCGAAACACACGTGGCACG